ATCTCAGCAACTTTGCATCATCTCGGACCACTTAACAATTGGTCAATCTCTGCAGGATGCTTCCAGTAGAATGATCCACATGCCAGACTGAGCTCCCATCTCAAAAGGATCCACCCCGGGACAAGAGTGATTGCATAGTGGCAGAACACTTGCCTTCATGGGGATTCAATCCCTGGCACTCCATAAGGTCCTCTAAATTGGCCAGAAGCAATCCCTGAACACAGATCCAGGAGTAAACCCTTAGCACTGCCAGATATGGCCCCCAAGCAAAGAAACAAAATTCCATCCCTTGAAACAATAGCCACTGCCCAACCCTTAGAATGGCCCAAAGGCAAAAGTAGGAAAGTACCAAACACTTCAGAGGCTAAGCTATGGCAAGAACTCTCATTCATGGGTGATGGGGATGCACAATTGTGCTGCTTCTTCAGAAGAGGGGCTGGCACTTGTTTACAAGAAAACCTCTGCTCTCAAAATAAGACAGCTGGTCCAGTCCTTGGTACTTACCTGGATGAACTGAGAATAGTTTCCCATAAATGATTCTAGTTACTTATCTACACTTGCTAAATTGCAACAATAGCCAAGATGTGTGTGTGTGTGTGTGTGTGTGTGTGTGTGTGTGTGTGTGTGTGTTGCTCTGGAAATAAGCCAGCTGTTCCATTCCTTGATACTTACCCAGATGAACTGAGAATAGTTTCCCTTAAATGATTCTAGTGACTTGTGTACACTTGCTAAATTGTAACAATAGCCAAGATATGTGTGTGTGTGCTCACGCGCACGCGCGCGCGCGTTGGGGGGGGTGAGGATTAGTAAATAGATAAACCCATGGTGGTACATCCCTAAGTAAAATATTGATTAACACAAGAAAGCAACAAGCTAAAAGGTCATAAAAGGATTTGTAGAAATTTCTTTCATGGTTGTTTTTGGGGCCATACTTGGTGGTATGGTGGTATGGGTGTGCTCTGGGCTTACTACTGACTCAGGGATCCACTCCCGGTGGGCTTGGGGGACCATATGGGGTGCCGGGGATCAAACCTGAGTCAGCTGCATGTAAGGCAAGCTCTCTTCCCACTGTACTATCTCTTCAGCCTCAAAGGAAACTTCCATGAAGTGAACTCTCAGCAGAGTGAAAGAAAGCCAAGCGGAAAAGGCTGGACTCTTCCACCCTTAATTTCCCCAATCTTCCTAACATTCTGAGTCCAACTCTTTTAGGCAAGCTGGAAATCACAGAATAGTGACAGTTGGAGATCAGTTGTCCCCAAGGAGGGCTGAATTGGTGGAACCCACATCATATTCTATGCAGTGATGCTATAATGGTACATGCCATTCCTCCTTGTGAGAAGGGATACAGTGTTTGACGCCCTGCTATATTTCACTGACTCTGGCTAATGAAATTGGATCCACATTAGCTCATCAGTTGCAACAAAGGTTGCCATGCCCTTGTGAATGCCCCATTCAGTTCCCTTTTTCAAAAGTTTTTAGTGTTTTGGACTACATCGGCAGTGCTCAGGGTTTATTCCTGGTCCTATGCTAACAGGTCAGTCCTGGCTGGGCTTGGGAAACCAGATGTGGTGCTGAGGATTGATCCTGGGTCAGCAGCATGCAAAGCAAATGCCTCAGCCAGCCACTGTACTGTATCTCTGGCCCTCTATTCCATTTTTTTCTGGATGCTCTTGGCTTACTCCTGGTGGTATTTGACAACTAAGGTCAGCCATGGGCAAGACAAGTACCTTAATCCTTGGCTATTTCTCCAGCCCTATTTGTATGTTTTCTATTTATTGAACTTGCTCTTCGCTTATTTTTATACTCATCTTCTCTCATACTTCAATCTTATATGACTCCATTGTATCTCTTCCATTATTATATCAATTATATACTTTTAAACCTACCCTTAATGATAACACAAGTTTTCTTTTTTTCTCCTTTTTTTATGATTTTATTTATTGAATCACCGTGAGAGCAGTTACAAAGCTTTCGGGTTTAAGTCTTGGTCATACAATGAATCACCCGTTCCTTCACCAGTGCCCATTTTCCACCACCAAAAACCCCAGTATACCCCCATTCCCACTCCCTCCCTTTATTTGTGGGGCATATAATTTCCACATTACTCTCTCTCTCTCTCTCTCTCTCTCTCTCTCTCTCTCTCTCTCTCTCCTTTGATTACATTCAATATTTCAGCACCAGACCCACCATTATTATTTGGGATTTTACCCTAACACTCAGATCTGCTGAAAAGGCAACGGTAGACAATTTGTTTTCTGTTACTGGTCATGAATAACATATGATGTCATGCGGTAGCAGTAGTGGCCGTGCGATTTTGGAATTCCGAAATTTTAACACTTAAATCTGGAGGGATTTCTGCCCAAAGCTTCTGGGTTCTGAGATTTGTTCCTGAGTCTCTGGGATCATGGCCGTTAAGCAGCTTGATCAGGAGATAGAGAGGCCGTTGGTGGGCGGTGACTCAGGATCTCATTGGGGTGGGAAAGAAAGGGCTGGCTCCACCTCCATCCCTTGAGGCTCCACGTATCTCATCACTGTGGGCCCAATCCTGACTGTCCAATGACCTCTGTAGGACGGTGGCCACCAAGCTGCCAAGGGGGAGCAGGTGGAGGGACAGCACCCTTTCCCCCCTGGGGTGGCCCAGTACCAGTAACCTACTGCCGGGATTGGACACATCTCTGCCAAAAGCTGCTGGGTTTTGAGATTTGTTTCTGAGTCTCTGGGATCAAGGCCATTAAGCAGCCTGATCAGGAGCCAGAGAGGCCCTTTGTGGGTGGCGACTTGGAGTCTGGTTGTGGTGGGGTGGAAAAGGCCGGCTCCACCCCCATCCTGTGAGGTATCCCACGTATCGTCACTGCGGGCCCAAACCTGACTGTCCAATGGTCTGGAATATGGCAGCCACGGAGCTGCAAAAGGGGGAGCAGGTGGAGGAAAAACACCCTTTGCCCCCTGGGGTGGTCTGGTGCCGTTAACCCATTGCAGCGCCAGATACATCTCTGCCAAAAGCTGCTGGGTTCTGAGATTTGTTTCTGAGTCTCTGGGATCATGGCCATTAAGCAGTTCGATCAGGAACCAGAGAGGCCTTGGCTTCAATTATATAGCTGAGCTGGAGGTGGTTTGTGGGTGTGTCTTCCATATATCTAACTTTTGGCCATTTACTTTCTTGGTAAACTTTGCCCCAAGTTTTTGGGGTTTGGCCAAAGGCACAGCAGCAATTTTGGGGTATCTGGAAGTCTGAAGGCACCATTAGGCTGCTGATGCACTCACCACACAGGTACAGATTGGCCTGCTGGCAGCACCATATCCCCAACATGAGAGTTTTCAATGCATATTTACAAGTGACCTAAATCCACTTCAAGTAACACTATTCTACTTCATGGTCTGGGCAAGTACCTTTGCTCTCCGGTTCCTATAACAATACTATCACTCATTTCCCTTATCCTTAAGCTATATGCACCCACTATATTGCTGATGTTATTGGGGTTTTGTGTGTGTGTGTGTGTATGTGTTATTATGGAGGAAAGGTAGAGCTTCTGTTGTTGATTTAGTTTGGGGGCCATGCCCAATGGTGATGAGGGACTGCAGCTTATTCTAGCTCTGTGCCCAAGGATCCTGGCTATAGCTGGAGGACCGTTCGTGGTGCCAGGGATCAGACTGGGTTTGCCACATGCAAGGCAAGCACATTACTTCCTTTACTATCTCTCTCATCCAACAATAATCTATTAAATTGTTTTGAAAATTCCCACCAAAAAACCAACAACAACAACAATAGCAAAGCAAGCAACATAGCTTGAGGAGTGGAAAAACACTGTTTTAATTATGCTAACGGACCTTGTTGAGCTCATGCTCCAGAACTGGGTCCAGAACAAAGACGAGGGCTCTGTTTTATGAAATATCTGGTGAGGGTGGAGCATTTGCAGGCAGCTGGCGGGAACGAAATTAGTGAAGCAGTAATTACCGTGCATGTTATTCTGCAAAGTAAGGTCTGGACCACCTCAAGGACATGAGCATATAGGAAGGACATTCCAAAGTTACAAAGCAAGACTATGATCATCTCAAGGCTATCCTGGATGCACTCTGTGGTTTTGTCATACTCCCCCAGACTCAGTTGCCCCTTGACTGCTCTTGTTTTCTGGCCTTCTTGAATTGAGCCTGTTAGAAATGTGGGCTGGGGTCTATTTTCCTCATCAAGATCAATTCTGAATCAAAAATTAAAATTTCATATGGCTTCCATCGATTTTTGTTTTTTTCTCTAATGGTCTTCCTTTCAGGTAGATGCCATTTTCTGACCTATATTGCTTTTCCTTTTCTGTGCAACTCCTTTCAACAGCATTTTTCTTTATGAAAAATCTTTAACACTTCTTACAAGGGCGAGCGATTGGCATTCCATTTGCGGGAGAAAACCTTTGCTTCTCCTCACTTGTTAGGATGCTAAGTGGGAGACTGGAATGGGAGCGCTCATTTATTCAGTACTCTGTTTGTTTGTGGGCCATACCCAGAGGTGCCCAGAACTTACTCTTTTGCTGAGAGAACACTCCTGGAGTGCTTGGGGGACCACAAGTGGTGCCGGGAATCGAACTCAGTTTATTTCAATGCAAGGCAAACTTCCTACACGCTGTACTCTCTCTTCCCGCCCTTTATTCAATAGAATTTTTTTTAAGCCAGTCCTAAAATACAGCTCTGGCCCTGCAGAAAAGCAGACAAACTTCCTATTCCTTCTCCTGTGGAGCCTCCAAGAGTTGAGCTGGAAGCGGTGTTGGTAGGAGGAAGACATCCCAAAGTGCTGTGGATTAGGCGATTCCCTTCTGCCCTTTCCGGGCCCCGCCCAGGCCCCGCCCCTTACGCCCTAGGACTAGCCCTGGACCCTCCCCTTTCCTCCCAAAGACACGCCTAGGCTCCGCCCCGCCCCGCTCAGGACACGCCCCGTCCCCGCCCACTCCGCCCGGGCCAGTTGCCCGGGGCCTGCGCTCTGGGCGCGCGGGTGCACCCGGCGCTTTGTCCGCGGCAAGGGGAGGAGGCCCCGCGGTGGACCCGGGCCGCCGTCCGCTGCGCTCCCCTGCACTGGCCCCGCGGAGGTGGGGACGGGCCTCCGCTGCCGGGAACCTGCCACCCGCTCGCACCCCCGGGTGCGGAGAGAGGCGACAGCGGAGCACCCCCCTCGCCCCGCTGCCAGGGGCGCGGGGTGCTGGTGAGCCCGAGGCGAGCACCCCAAAGGGGAGCGGCGAGACGAAACCGCCAAGGTACGCGGGGCTGACGGGGTCGGGGAGGTCGCCAGTAGGGGGTGACGGCCGGGTCAACGCCGCCTCCCGGCCCCCCCCCGCCCGCCCGCTTCTCGGAATCCCGGACGCCTTCCCGCTCTAGTCCGATCATCTGCCGGGTACGCGAGGCCCCGGGATCCCTATCCCCGCACCAAGGGCGTGTGGGGCTGTGGGGCGCCGCGATCTGCCTCCCAGGGGTCCCTAACCCAGCAGCAAAGGACGCGCGGGGCACCCGGACTCTTGGGGCTGCGGAGATGAGCCCCAAACACAGACCCTCTCGGCCTTGCAAAACTTTTTGGCATCAGATCCGGGTTGGGGGGTCTCAGGCCCGCCTGCGCCTGACTTGAGCGACCCTTTGCTCCCCTAGGGAGCGGGCTCCATCTGCTATGCGACCTTCCCGAACCCTAACCAGAGGCTCGTGGAAAGTTCTGACGCACCCGGGTCAGAGCTGACCTGGACCATAGGGCGGTACAGGCGGGGGAGGGGGGGGGGGAGCGCCTGACACACAGAGAAGCAGGGGCCTCGCCAAGGACCTGCAACTGCCCCTTTCAGTACTTTCTCTCCTTCTCCCCCCACCCCCCCCATCTCATTGGCTTTGGCAGAAAAGGGACAAGAATGAGGCTGTACATAGACCAACTTCTTGGTTATTTATTATTATTATTATTATTATTATTATGGCACCATGATTTACAAAATTATTGATTGCTGAGTTTTATTTGTTTTGGTTTTTTTTTCTCTTTTTGGGTCACACCCGCGATGCACAGAGGTTACTCCTGGCTCTGCACTCAGGAATTACTTACTCCTGGCTGTGCTCAGGGGACCATATGGGATGCTAGGAATGGAGCTTGGGTAGGCCACGTGCAAGACAAATGTCCTACCTGCATTGCTATTGCTCCAGCCCGCATTTCTGAGTTTTAGACTACAGTGTTCCAGCACCCATCCCCCAACCAAATCAACTTCCCCCGGCCAGTGTTCCCAAGTCCCCTTCCTCCCCCCCCCCTCCCCACCCCCCATTCTGCCTCTTGGACAGGCACATTTTTTAAAGTTCTGTTGCTGTGGTTTGGAGTTCCCGCTTTCAGTGTTGTTGACCTGGGTTTGGATAGATGGCTATACCACTCTTCTACACCATGAATAGGACAACCACCTGCCCTACCCCCATTCTCCACCCCTCTTTACATTCTGGGCAGAAAAGATAGCACAGCACATAGGGCACTTGCCTTGCATGTGGCCAACCTGGGCTTGATGCCCAGCACCACATATGGTCCCCTGAGCATCATCAGGAGTGATCCCTGAGTGCAGAATTAGGAGTAAGCCTTGAGCACAGCTGGGTGTGTCCCGTCCCTTCCCCACACCCCTCCCCCTAATAAAAGCCCAAAACAAAACAAAAACAGTAGGCCAATTTTAAAGGGAAACACTTTAGAAACTTGACTAGAATCTCCACAAGCTAGAATTTGACAGTTAGTCTCAGGAAGTGACTTGAACTTTTTGGTTCTGTGGTTGCCAGGTTTTCTTTCTATTTTAAATCAGAAAGCCCCATCGCCTTTTTGGATGGTTGAGAGGGTAGTCACACCTGGTGGTGTTCAGGCCTTACTCCTGGGTCTGTGATCGGGGATCACTCTCGGTGATGCTGGGGTGTGTGTGGGGGGGGGGGGCGTGGTATCTGTTGTGCCAAAGATCAAACCTTGGTCAGCTGTTGATAAGGCAACTACCTTAACCCCCGAAATAGCTCCCAGGTCCATATTTAAAAGTAAAAGAAAGTCTGTGTGAGATTTGGTTGCTGTTATTTGATAGTGATTCTTCTAAAGGGAAAAAAAAAATGGGAAAAGAATTCTAACCCCAGAGATTCTCTCTTCGAAGTCAAACTTGTGTTTAAAAAAATTTTCTTTCAAGTAAAATGGAACAAAATTAGGAGAACACACGTGAACAAATTATAAAGGGACACAGTTGAACATGGGTTGAAAAAATTGCTGGACTTGGCATATCATACGCTTAGTATCATACGCTTAGTATGATATGCTAAGCACTTGACCTAATTTTTCATGCTTGCAATCGACAGTAACTTTACTATGGCTTTACATCATTTTGAAGATTTGCTGAGACTAAGTCAGGGCATTATAAATTATTATCTCTGTAGCAATGTAGCACTGTCTTCCCGTTGTTCATCAATTTTCTCAAGAGGGCCCAGTAACGTCTCCATTGTGAGACTCGTGGTTACTGTGTTTGGCATATCGAATACTTCACGGGTAGCTTGCTAGGCTTTGGCGTGTGAGCAAGATACTCTCAGTAGCTTGCCGGGCTCTCCAGGAGGGGCGGAGGAATTGTGGAGGAATTGAACCCAGCTCGGCCGGGCCAGCCGCGTGCAATGCAAACGCCCTACCACTGTGCTATCACTCCAGCCCAGAGTCCAAGTAATAAAAATAAAATATCCACTGTCCACTGTCCACTGACCTCCCGTTGTTCATCGATTTGCTCGAGCGAGCCCAGTAACGTCTCCATTTTGAGACTTGTTACTGTGTTTGGCATATTGAATACCACGGGTAGCTTGCCAGGCTTTGCCATGTGGGTGAGATACTCTTGGTAGCTTATGTAAGTAATGAATGCAAAAACAGAGATGAACAAAAATAGATATTTTTTTTCAGTCTTCCCATAAGCATACAGAGCCTTAATAGACTCCTTTTCTTCCTTCATTTATAAACTTTAAAGGTATTAAAAAATCCATGTCATATATATTCTTTGACTATCAATTGTCTTTATTTATTTATTTATTTATTTGGCTTACACTCAGTGGTTGGGCTGGAGCGATAGCACAGGGGTAGGACCTGGCCAACCCGGGTTTGATTCCTCCGTCCCTCTCGGAGAGCCTGGCAAGCCACCCAGAGTATCTCACCCGCACAGCAAAGCCTGACAAGCTCCCTGTGACGTATTCGATATGCCAAACACAGTAACAACAAGTCTCAAAATGGAGACGTTACTGGGCCCGCTCGAGCAAATCAATGAACAATGGGAGGACAGTGCTACAGTGCTACACTCAGTGATATGCGAAGCTTACTCTGGCTCTATGCTCAGCACCACTCCTGGCAGTGCTCGGGGGACTATTTGCAGTGCCAGGGATCAAAGCAGAAGGCAAGCACCTGTAGCTCTAGTCTATCTCTCTGGCCCTCAATCCTTAGACTTTATCAAAAGTAAAGCCGGAGGGGCTGGAGTGATAGCACAGCAGGTAGGGCGTTTGCCTTGCATGTGGATGACCCGGGTTCGATTCCCAGCATCCCATATGGTTCTCTGAGCACCGTCATGAGTAATTCCTGAGTGCAGAGCCAGGAGTGACCCCTGAGCATCACCAGGTGTGACCAAAAAAGAAAAAAAAAATTAAAACCGGAGGCTCTATAAGGAGGACTTAAATGTTATGGGACCAGGTGAGAAAAAACACTATCCATTGTGTTCTGCCACTCCCACAGGCAAAATGTTCCTAGTCCAGATGATGCGTTTTCTCGTCGTTCTTGGAATTCTAGATCCTTCCCCTTTCAGGTTTTCATCAGTGGTCATTGTCGGTCTGAGCCCAGGCAGAGCTTGAGGGGACTTTTTCCTGATAGCTTTCTATTACCTCCAAGAAAGGGTTGGGATTGAATTTACAGAAGAGTTCAAAGAAGCCTTTGGGGAAATGTGTTGACTGAAGCCAGAATGATGAGAAGTGGAGAAAAGAGAAAATGAAAGAGGAAGGGAAGGAAGAGGGGTGTGGGTGGGAGGCACTTAAGAAGGGGAGTAGTTCAGAGCTCCTGCAGATTATTTTCTGGGGCCAGCAAAAGAATGAGAACATGCCTTTCTCCCTGCCCAAGCCCGGCTTGCACAAACTGGGCAAATGATCTTTTTTGTTTGTTTGTTTAAATTTGGACTTAAACAAATAGTGTGACAGTGTTTTTTTTTTTTTAATTGAATCGCCTGAGAACAGTTACAAAGCTTTCGGGTTTAAGTCTCTGTCATACATTGATCAAACACCCATCCCTTCACCAGTGCACATTTTCCACCACCAAGAACCCAGGTATACTCCCCAACCCACCTCTCCACCTGCCTGTGTGGCAGATGATTTCCACTTTACTCTCTCTCTACTTCAATTACATTCAATATTTCGACAAAAGACCCACCATTATTATTTGGAATTTCCCCCCAACAATCAGACCTGCCAAAAAGGCATCCTTAGATAATTGTTTTCTGTTGCTGATTTTGAAGAGCATATGACGTCGCGCGGCCGCTTGATTTTGGAATTCTGATATTTTAGTAATTAAGTCTGGAGGGATTTCTGCCAAAAGCTGCTGGGTTCCAAGATTAGTTTGTGTGCCTCTGAGATCACGGCTGTTAAAGAGCTCCATAAGTAGCCGGAGGAGCCGTTCGTGGGCGGCAACTCATGGTCTCTTTGGGGCAGGGAGAAGGGCCAGTTCCACCCCCCATCCCGTGAGGCCCTGCGTGTCTTGTCAATGTGGGTGAGTGATCTTGAAGGATGGTGCTGTTATTGGCATTCTGAGATTTTTTTTTCCCCAAAAATTAATTTAAAAGTCCAGTGTGTTTCTGCTACCAGAAACTCTACTGGTATGTCAACAAAATTCTTGAAAAAGCTCCTTTTGTTAACCAGAAAGAAGAAAAACCGCATCTAGAGGTTTCTGTTGTTGTTATTATTCTCTGACAGGAGGTGCCAGAAGGGAGCTGGGAACAGGGAAAGCACCCCAAGAGCCACCCTGACTCTCCTGCCCTCCCAGGGAAGCAATGAACTTTCAACAAGACCCCAAAATCTCCCCCTGAGGCTGACTAAACTCTGGCCAAGGGCCAGCAATGTCGTATAGTGGTCAGCACAGACCTTGCATACATAAGACCTGGGTTCACTCCCCAACACTGCCAAAAAACTAAACCTCAGATCAAACTCAAAAAGCTCTACAATAACAGACAATAACAAGGAAATGCAACAAAATATTTAAGAACTAGACATGCAGAGA